TTGAGGGTACATTCAGAGATACTTGAGAATCAAAATTCAAAAATCAAATTTTCAATCCCGACAGTAAAGTTGATAGTAAAGAGGGTGACTGTCATAGAATGCATTTTACGCCTCGTCATTTCAACTTTCAAATAACCCTGAATTTTCTCTCAAAAACCAGAAATTATCCAGAGTCCAACTCTCAACTTGGTCTGGAGGAGCCAAGTTNTAGTAAAGTTGATAGTAAAGAGGGGGACTGGCATAGAATGCATTTTACGCCTCGTCACTTCAACTTTCAAATAACCCTGAATTTTCTCTCAAAAACCAGAAATTATCCAGAGTCCAACTCTCAACTTGGTCCGGAAGAGCCAAGTTTCTGAGAGCGTTCCAGAAAATTCTCCGGTTTTCGAGAAATTCCGTCGATTTAAACAAAAAAATGGAAAAAATTCTCCAGTTTTCTTAAAACTTTCAATTAGTGTTCCAGTTTTGTAAACAAAATCGAGAAAATTATTGAGTTTTTGGGAACGTTCTAGAAAATTTTACGATTTTCTAAAAAAATTCAAGAAAATTCAAGGTAATTCTCCGATTTTCTACTGAATTGGATGAGGTTCGCCGATTTTCTCATAAGTTCGGAAGAATTCTACGGTTATCTAGGAAATTCGATGAAATTCATCGATTTTCTAATAAATTCGGGGGAATCCTCCAGTTTTCTAGAGAATTCGACAAACTTCTCCGTTTTTCGAGAAAATTCTCCAGTTTATTAAAGAATTTGCGAAAATTCTGCGTTTTTAAAAAAAAATGGAGAAAATTATCCAGTTTTCTGAAAACTTTGAAAAAATTCTCCGGTTTGCGTTTGAAAAAAGAATTTTTGATTTTCAATTATCTCTCAATCTACTTTCATCGTTTTTGAGAACTGAGAATTTGATTGTTTTGTTTTTGAAAATAGCATTGTTGATTCTCAATGATTCTGAATTAGAGATGCAAAATGACAGTCATTTTTGAGATCGCGTCATGTGACCAAAAAAGGACGGTCATGTGACGCACGAATTTCGTAACCACAAATGATCGCCACAAATAATTTGTAAGCAAATTGTTGTCAAACCATCTATATGGATACATAATGACGGTCAAACTCATTTCTAATTTGTGATTGTCATAAATAACATAGCTTCATCTCTAGATAGATGGAAAATGACCGTAATTTTGANGTGCAAAATGACAGTCAATTTTGGGATCGCGTCATGTGACCAAAAAAGGACGGTCATGTGACGCACGAATTTCGTAACCACAAATGATCGCCACAAATAATTTGTAAGCAAATTGTTGTCAAACCATCTATATGGATACATAATGACGGTCAAACTCATTTCTAATTTGTGATTGTCATAAATAACATAGCTTCATCTCTAGATAGATGGAAAATGACCGTAATTTTGATTTAAAAATGCACATTAGGCTAACGCAAAATGAATTCAAAGAAAAATTGATAGTAAAACAATGAGCTCGCATCTGTATA